ATGAGAAAAAGAAAACATTATTAAGGTGAGAGGACAATAAAAGAATAAGAATTAACGATTAAGAAGATAACGATTGACATTGCATTAAATTTTTGAAGTTGACTGGAAACCAAGAAACAGAGGAGAGTTCCACAATGAAAAATGTGAATGAAGAAACTGTTAGCGTAGAACTTACGGTTACATCTAACCATTTCACCTGTAAAATTATAAGAAATTGTTGCCAATCTAATACAGCACTTAAATTCAAAAGATACCATAGAGAAAAGCTCATCAGAACAATTACTATGAAAATATTTATATAAAAGTTAAAGGGAACCTACGATATAGCGTTATTGCGGTAGGGAAATAACAAATTTTGCGAAATAGTTAATGTTAAATTTTTTCTAAATATAATTATAATTTAATAAATTTGACCTACAATAATTTTGGAAAAATATACATTGAGTCTAACGACGATTCTAAATAAAAGTAGGCATTCGTTATGGAAATTAAATAGTTAAGATGAGGATGGAAAAGTATCAAGTCCTGCTTGCTAGCTAAATGAACAGGTTTTGAAGAAATCTTATATATATATATATATATATATATATATATATATATATATATATATATATATATATATATATCAACAAAAACATTTACTCACTTTCGTTTAATAAACATCAAATTACGTCACATTTTCACCCCAAGCAAGGCGTGAGTGTTATTAGTACGCAGGGGATTACAGTAAGTGAAAGTGAGGGAAAAGACTGGGTATAGGTGGGGGGTGAGCAAAGGATAAAAAAAGAGCGAATTCAAGACAACAGAAGATTAACGTTTCATTTAAACTTTTGAAGGAAGTAAACGGAAAAAGACTTCAGCTGACGGGAAGTGCGAGAAAAGAAACTGCTCGAGTAGAAGTAGCCGGTTAAATTTAAATATTTCAACAGTAAAAGGGTGGGACCTCGATGCCAATCTAGTAGCACGCTTAAATTCATGTCGTCAGGGCACCAAAGAAAAAGCTTGTCAGAGTAGTTACCATGAAAATATTTGTAGAAAAGATCGACTAAAGCCACGTCACATCTGTGAGAAAGTGACTGAAGTCGAGATACCAAGTCAGGATCGATTACATTACATCTTTAAAACTTAGCATGCTCCATAATTTACCTTGACTTTTCAGTTAACCTGATGAATATCTATGTGCGTCTCTTAAAAAATTAACCTTTTTACTTTTATTTTACTTTTATTTATAAATACTTGTAAAATAAAACTCTTCACATTTACCTTGAAAAAGTCTGTCAGAGAATGAAACGCGTGGGCTAAGAGAACTTAATAGTCAACTTTTATTATATTCATTATATATATATGTGTGTGTGTGTGTATTTGTGTGTATATATATATATATATATATATATATATATATATATATATATATATATATATATATATATAAAAAAAGGCTTAAACATTAATATTCCATGGTCATAATTAATTCCATTGGAATCGTAAATACGATCCAATTCATCAGACCTACAAATTCAAAAAGAAAACAGAAAAAAACAACTCCGGAAATAAAAACAGAATTTAGAGAGAGTGTAGGTATGAGGGGTAACATACTAGAGAATGGGGGAGATTAAACCTTAACAGAGAGAATTTTAGGAGAGGTGAGTGGAAGGGGTTTAAGTAAGAGAAATATGAATGTTGTCGGATGGCTAATGCATAAAGATACATTTCGTGGTGACATACACACACCATAGACGATCTAATAAGATCAGAATAAGATCAGAATAAGAGGGAGGGAAAGACGAGGTGGGGGAGAGAGATGGGGCGAAGGAAAGTAAATTTGAACATTTACTGAAAGGGCCGCTGTGTAATTGAGAAAATTTGACAAATTTAATATCGACTACAGGTTACAAATCAAATATAAACATATAAAAAATAAATATAACGATTATCTAATCTAGCAAGGACCTATATTTCTATGTTCAAACACACATGCGAATACGCACATACACAATAACATATACACGTATATACATACACATAGGCGTGTACCCACATACACACAAACATATACCCATGTACACACATATATAAATATATCCACATATCTACACATACACATATCCATCTATATCCATATACACACACTTTTCACATACATATACATACATACACATGCACACACACACACACACACACACACACACACACACACATATATATATATATATATATATAGGATTCTAACCTCTTGGAATTTTTATTAAAAAAATATACATGTATGGGTATTTATATATTTTGCATATATATGTATATTTAACACTAATACTATCAATATATATATATATATATATATATATATATATATATGTGTGTGTGTGTGTGTGTGTGTGTGTGTGTGTGTGTGTGTGTTAATAAATATACATATTAAAACTCACCGATAGCACTACTTGGAGTTTCATGCTTGTTATGGTCCGGTTCCTTGTACCACGGTGATGGTCCAAGGTAGAACCAATAAAGAACTCGAACACGGATATGGAATAACACAGATATATTACAAACAGGAATATATACAGAGAAGTAGAAAGTGTTAGTACGAACAATCAGGAAATAGGAAAAACAATGGAGTCTCGACCAGTATCACTATTCCAATGTCTTGTACTAATTGTCTGAACGCGACTCTGTTTCGGTCTGCCTCTGACTCGACTGACTGACTCGCTCTCTCTGACTGACTGACGGACTCCTAACGGACCTCACTCAAGAGTTCAGACTGAACAGTATTTAGTCCTCCCGACCCCACGAGGGCATCATGTGGCACAAGGCCGGTTTAACGTGGGATCTCCGAGCCCGTGGGATCTCCGAGCCCGTGGGCTCAGTCAAAAATATAACCTTTGAACCCGTATAAACGGGTTCAGGGTCAGTTTACCTCCCCGAAAGAGACTCCGCCCTTCGGCGTAACCTCGATCGGGTTCCTCCCCGCCCGAAGGCAGAGAGTTCAACCGATTTGCCGGTCAGCCGGTCGTCCGACTTCAGACTGAACGGTATTTAGTCACCCCCCCAGCGAGGGCATCATGTGGCACAAGGCCGGTTTAACGTGGGATCTCCGAGCCCGTGGGATCTCCGAGCCCGTGGGATCTCGAGCCCGTGGGCCTCGGCCAAAATATGCCCTTTGAAGCCGTATAAACGGGTTCAGGGTCGGTTTACCTCCCCGAAAGAGACTCCGCCCTTCGGCGTCGCCTCCTTCGGGTTCCTCCCCGCCCGAAGGCAGAGAGTTCAACCGATCAGCCGGTCGCCCGACTTCTGACTGAACTCTCTGCTTCCTCTTGAGGCCCAGTATTTATTACGTATGGAATAGTCCATTATGTTATTATGATTAACGTCCCATAACAATGCTCAATGCAGTCTTCGGGTGCTGATTATAGTCTGGCCGTTGCTTAATTTGAATTTTAATCAAAATATCTGGTTATCGCAATGTTAGCACAGTTGTATATTAATCTGGAATTGCAGAAAATGTATAAAAATACATATATATATATATTTACAGTAGTGAATATTAATTTTTTATATTAAGCATAAAGGGAGATTACTTGTTATTTTTTTTAAAAAATCGAAAAAGACATAATTTATATTAAAAATAAAAAAAAAAACTTAATCAATGTATTTAAGATGATATTTATTTTTATGCCTTCATGTAACCATAGCAAGTAATAACAGTGAGCTCCAGGATTTGACCAATAAACTTTTAGAAAGAGCAGGAGCATATGGAATGCAGGTCAGCTCCCAGAAATCCAAAATATTGGCGAATAACACAAACAGTATCAGCTGTATCAACATTACTTATGAACAGGAATTCAATGGAAGAACTGTCCAGTTTTAGATACTTGAGCAACATTGTCTGAAGATGGTACCTGCAACTCGGAAATCTGCTCACGGATTGCCGCAGCGATAGCTAAATTGGCAAGAATATGGAGGATCAAAATCAGCATTCAAATGAAGTACAGACTCTACAAATCGCTGGTAGTCTCCATCCTTCTATATGGATGTGAAATGCAGAAACAGAGAGAAGAACCCAAGCGTTTGAGAACAAATGCATGAGAAAACTCCTTGACATCTTCTATTGGGAACATAAAACCAATGAGTTTGTACGGAAAATGATTGAAAGTTTTGTGGGACATCAGTCTTGCCACTGTCAAATGGAGAAAAATGGCGTTACAAAGCACGATAGCCTGTGCAAGACCATCATGCACGGCACCGTTGAAAGTGGACGTAGGAGAGGATGCCAACACAAAAACTGGTTGGACAATGTCAAACAATGGACAAGTATGACTGTAGCAGAATTGCTAATGGCTGTCGTTGATAGACCGTTGTGGATGAGATTTAGTGTGGCTTCGACATTCGGATCCCCCTACGATTACAAAAGCCAAGGGGATGATGATGATGATGATCTAACTATCAATTCATTTCTCTTGTTTAATAAACTAGTGTTATTTAAGTGTTTTAAGATAACTAACTTTTCAACAAGACATAAATTACATTTATTGCCTTTCTCATTTGGCTCTTGCTACAATATCCCTGCAGTGCTGTTTTTGCATTTCACATTACTTAAAGTCATTCCTTTGATGATAGAAACGAAATTCCCAACGATTTTCAGTGGAACCAAAATAAAATTGACATCGTTACCGGAATTTATACTAACTCGGTATACAATATTATCAGTCACACATTGGCCGTTTAAAGGACAGATAATATTTTTTCAGCAGTTGCATTTATTCTTTTAAAATAACGTTGTCTTTGTTGGAAATATATTTATTTAATGTGAGGATGTTATGTTGGGATATAGATTTATCGATCTTATTAACGAAGTTATAGCTGAAGTTAACATTATTTTTGTTAAATTTTTTTTTAGTGTTGGTGAATGTTTAACGTCATTATGAATTATATATCTTTTGTGAGCAATTTTTGTAACCAATCATTAAATCAAATACTTTACTTTGTTTTCCTTTTTTCATTTCTTACAGGTCGGAGGTAAACCTTGGCGTCGAAAGGTCTGGATTTACTTTGGTTCGCTTTGCAAAAGAAAACCCGGAACTCGCACATTTTGTTCGAGTAAGTACCTTCATTTCTTAAGCGCTTGCAGTAGATGACTTTAAGCACAATTTTTAATTTGCTATGTCCTTAGCGAGTGTTAAAATTTCATCTTGCAAAAATTCAATATTAACTCGGTCAGAGCCATTGTCACTGTTAGAAAATATACAACTATTAAAGTGAAGACTGATATATTATTTATTTACATTATTTACATTGTTCAAACCGTTGTTCTTATCTTTATTGTCTTGTTCACGACATTTCGGTCGTTGTACGCTCAGGCCTTCATCAAATGATTGAAATTTGAGGCTGAACCGTTTATTTCGTCCACTGTAGCAGATTGTTCTTGTTCCACGTGACATGCCTCTTCCGGGTGTTTCAGTTATCTCTCTTTAACTCAACTCTTCAAGATTTTGTTCGCCACTGTCGTAGCTAGGTATCGAACTCACAACTCTTTCGGTCAAGTCACTGGATCTAACCAACGCTTTTAACCACTGGACTATGTGTCCATGAGGAAGGCTGGAGCGTACCAGGGCTAAAACGTCGTGAATATGACAATAAAGATGAGGACAACAGTGTGTTATATATCCAAATAATGTAAATAATTACAATACCTATATAATACAATAGATGTAGCACAAGGCAGGAAGTATGGAGCACCCAGTGAGGTTTGAACTCACTACTCAGTCGTAATATGTTCCAGCGAGACAAACTTGCTAACCATTACACGACGCTGTTATTTTATTTTTATATATATATATATATATATATATATATATATATATATATATATATATATATATATATATATATATATATATATATATATATATATATGCAGGCTCGGTGAGTCAAAATCGAATTCCGGTCGAAACCATTACATTCACTAACGTGCTAATAATGTTGGGAAAAGTATTAATACTCCTCTTCTCCCCCCCAGTTATGAGTAAATATCAGGGCAAACTTGGTTCTATAGCCTTGGATGGCAACTGGTCTGAAGGGAAGGACAACTCTGAATTCAAAACCTGCAGAGGGTCATTTGGGGACCTTGTTGCACGTAGTGAACCAGGTCTGTATTCGACCCTTCAAAAAGTGTCATTTGTTCTGCACAAAACCTTCACCACTACAATCAAACGATATGTGCTGGTGTCTGGCTGTCCGATCCTAGGAACTGAGCTGCTTGACCCTCATATGTCGAATACGACAGGAGTCCACTATATATATATATATATATATATATATATATATATATATATATATATATATATATATATATATATAGCGGCCCATAATATAAGGAACGGAAACAACAAAGATATAAATATGTGTATTACTTAAAAAGTAATGCATGATTAGCAATGAAATTTTTACCGAATAAAGATTAGGGTGTAATGCATAAATATTATACAAAGTTACAAAAATTTACATCATAGTTTCTTTTTTTAAATGCCGCCAATCTAGTACTGTCCTTAAATTTAAAAAAAAATGTCTATGTACCATAAAGGAAAGTTCATCACAATAATTACCATGAAAATATTTATAGAAAAGACAGAGGCAAACTATGTTACATCAGTGGGAAAGTAACTGAAGCTGAGATGCCAGGTCAGGACGATTAACATTGCAGATATTTCTTTGTATTTTTAGCAGAACACCATATAATATTTTGTGTGTATACATACATATATATATATATATATATATATATATATATATATATATATATATATATATATATATATATATGTGTGTGTACGTCTGTATTTTGTGAGTGTACATATATATGTGTGTATATGTATGTATGCATGTATGGGGGTAGATTGATAGGATTAGGTTTCTAACGAACTATCCAGGATTTTTTTCAGAAAATCCTGTGCTACTCACCTCCACTTTACACATCAATCCTAATACACACACACACACACACACACATATATATATATATATATATATATATATATATATAATCTTATAAATATAAGTATTTATACTCGTACGGAAAAAACCTCATGTGTTTTGGCTTGTAAATGAACAAACCAATAAGGAATAAAAAAAAAAAAGAACGAACTAAGAAGATGTAATTCAGACGAAAACAATCGTCCAGAATCCAAGCTCAGAGTCCAAAAAAAAAAACCTCCGACACGAGTAACGTAAAATAACTAAGCAAAGTGCTCAATACGCTAAGTAGAGCAAATCTAACTACGAACCTAAAGAACCAGGCTTTTTAGGTTCGTAGTTATATATATATATATATATATATATATATATATATATATATATTATATATATGGATAGATAGATGTATAACGGTATAATCTCTCTGCTTCATACTTAAACGCAATCGTCAGACCTGACGATTCTGTTTAACATAAAACATATATTGAGTGAATTTGTGATCTTACAATCACTGAATAAACCATGACATTATTTCGAGCGGAGCTCTTGAAGAAAGCTTCTTAATTTAAATTCAACATCATATGTTCAACAGAAATGGATTATTAGGTTAGACTTAAACTTTACTTATCACTTTGTTAACATGCCTTGCGTGGTCAGTCTTGTGCATAAATAAACATCCTTTCAAGACATACAACGTGTGCTTGATAATTGAAATGTTAGCAACGCCTCTTGAATGTCTATCTCTTAACTAATTAGAGTTTATTTATGATTACCTGGAACATTTAATTACAACCACATTTAATTAACCTCTTTTCTTGCAAAATCCTCCTTTTCACACGTGCAGTAGTTTACAATAATTTTTCATCAAGGTATTGCATGTTTCTGAAGTTAAAACTTATGCCAGGTAAGATCTATGTAAATCCTTGGCACAAGTGAATCTTCTTTTTTTTATAGGTTTATCTGATGGCGTTTAGTACAAATGCTGTCATCACTGACAACTCGGCTACAAACAGGCAACGTTTCTTCCACCATTATTGAGACAGATGCTTACGAAGAGATGTAACGCATTTTATGTGGTCTTGTCTCTAGGGAAAGATGAACTCAAGGGCTGGGGGAATGTTGAGTGTACATTTAGTTAATAATTAGGGTTGCACGGTCGGGTTTTTTTGGTAAAAACGCTGAAAGGAAGAAAGAAAGAAATGGGCAAGAAAAGGACAGAAGCAGATTTGCGAGATTAAAAAATGATAGAACAATAAAGAAGAAAGAATGGAAAGGAGAGAAGAAGGAATTAAAGAGAGAAGGAATAAAGGAATGGAAGGAATGAAAAAATGAATAAAGAAATGGGGAAGAAAGAATAACAAATAAGAAAGAAAGAAAGAAAGAAAGAAAGGAAGGAAGGAAGGAAGGAAGGAAAGAAGGAAGGAAGGAAGGAAGGTAGGAAGGAAGGAAAGCCTAAGCAATGAAAAAAGAAAAGCTAAATAAAGAAAAGTGTTTTATGAAAAAGAAAGGAAGAACAAAGAAATGAAGAAAGAATGAAAAAAAAAGAAAAGTCATAAAGGAAAATGAGGTAAATTAGAGAAAAAGAAAAAGTGCCATATTGAAAAATTAAAGAAAGAAAACCACATAATGAAAAACACAAAATTTAGAGTGAAAGAATATGAGTCATACAAAAAAGAAGGAAAATAAAGAATGGAGAGAAAAAGAAAGAAGGTAAAAGAAAGAAAGAAAGAAAGAAAGAAAGAAAGAAAGAAAGAAAGAAAGAAAGAAAAGGTAAAAATCGCAAAATGAAAAATACAAAATATATAGAGAAAGAAAAGGAGTCATACGAAAAAGATAGAAAATAAAAAAGAGAAAAAGAAAGAGGGAAAACGAAAGAAAGAAAGAAAGAAAGACGAAATAAATAGTCACAAAATAAAAAAATACAAAATTTAGAGAGAAAGAAAATTAGTTATACAAAAAAGAAAAGCATAAAGAAAGAAAAAAAGAAAGAAAGAAAGAAAGAAAGAAAGAATAAAAATCACGAAATGAAAAATACAAAATTTAGAGAGAAAAAAAGGAGGAATATGAAAAGGAAAGAAAGAAAGAAAGAAAGAAAGAAAGAAGAAGGTAAAAATCACAAAATGAAAAATATTGAGAAAGAAAAGGAGTCATACGAAAAAGATAGAAAATAAAAAAGAGAAAAAGAAAGAGGGAAAAAGAAAGAAAGAAGAAATAAAAAGTCACAAAATAAAAAAAATACAAAATTTAGAGAGAAAGAAAATTAGTTATACAAAAAAGAAAGAAAGAAAGAAAGAAAGAAAGAAAGAAAGAATAAAAATCACAAAATGAAAAATACAAAATTTAGAGAGAAAGAAAAGGGGTCATACGAAAAAGAAAGAAAGAAAGACAGAAAGACAGAAAGACGGGAAATATGGCTCTACAAGAAAAAGTGAAGAAAAAGATATACGTTAGATAGAAAAAGTAAAGGGCAAAAATGGAAGAAAAAATGTTATAAAGAAAGCAATAAATAAAGAACATCAGATTCTCCTCAATAAAAAAAAAATGAGGGAAAAATATCCGAAATAAATTTTGTAGAGATTGGAAAAACGAGAAAAGATAGAAAGGAGCAAGTGAAATCTCAAGGGGAAAAAAAAAGTGTGATGTCTGAGGCGGCGGCAGTAAATAAAAAGCAAATAGCAAACGACGAAAGAGGACAAAGGCTGAGGTATGAGGTAAGGGCGTTCACAGAAAAGCTGTTTAGTTCAATATGTTGAATGGGGAAATTCACTGGCAGATATCACTAAAAATGGTCATAAGTGTACATCTGTCCTCATGTACCAGAAACCATGCCATGAATATAGTATTATCGAGAGACGAGGAATATGTATGTAAAAGTTCACGGAAACTTTATTCAAAGGTAGAGACGGAAGCAAGTTTGCCACACTTGGTTACAAATAATGAATTAGGTGATATTTGAAAGCCCAGCACTTCTAAGAGTTAAACTGATATTTTTCTTTTTTTTTTTTCATTAGTAGTCCAGGTTAGAGCAGACCATTTTTAAAATAGCCGAAAAAAAATCAAAATTTCCAAAATTCAGATTTTAGCAACGTTAACCTTTCAAAAGAAGCCTAAATCTGGCAACGCTGCCTAAAAGACTGTTTTAAGGAATAGAGAAACATATAGAATATAATGTGGGAAAATTATAAATGAAAAGTAATCCCCCACATAATATACACAGGCTTGTTAATAAAATATTGATTGATCTCAACACAGGGTTGCCAGACCAATCTACAATTAATAAATTGAGCTACATTTGAAAGTTTTGTTGTAAAAAGTGGTGATCTCATGACGTCTTATCAGGAAAAGTGATCCCACACTTAATATTCACTCATTAATCAAATATTGATGATATATTAGCAGGCTTAGAATTTGAAAACCGTTTCGACAGAAGTTGAGGAGTGATCTATTTATGGCGGTTATAAAAGAAAAATGCACCCCACTTAATATCCCCTTGTTTGTTAATAAAATATTATTGATCTCCAAGCAGGGTTGCTAGACTGAGCTACAAGTAATGAACTGAGCTACATTTGAAAGCTTAGTGGTAAAAAGTGGGGATCTCTTGACGTCTTACCTGTAAATGAAAATTGCTCCCTCACTAAGCTTTCATTCATTAATCAAATATTGATAATATATTATCAGGATTAAATGATGGGGTTAGAAATCATGAATTGAACATTTGAATACCGAGTGGCAAAAAGTGGGGGACCTATTTATGACCCCCCCCCTCTTAATATACGCTTTTTTGTTAATAAAATATTATTGATCTCCAAGCAGGGTTGCCAGACTGAGTTACAATTATTTGAGCTACAATTATTTGAGCTACAAATATACAGGGTGCTATGGATAAATTGTCGTCTAAATTACACAAAAATGAAAATAACACTGGCATCGCATTTTAACAAATATATTTACCAAAATTAAATAAAAATATCTTGAATACTAAAGAGTAAATTTATTCAATAAAATCGCCATGAATTTCAACCACGGTCTCCAAACGACTTCGGAAATTTCTGCAAATCTTCTGGACTGTCTTCTTGTTTAAGTTGGTGAATGCTTCCATAATCTTTGCCTTTAGTTCATCTTTGGTGTTACAGGAAGTTTTTTTTTGTCTCTCACTCAACTGCCCCATGCATAATAATCATGTGTGGGGGTTGCAATCTGGGGAGTTAGGTGGCCAGATATAAGGGGTGAGGTGGTTGCAGAAATTGTCTGACATAACTGGGTTCTCCTGCTCGTGTGGCATGGTGCAGAGTCCTGTCAACAGAACTCTGCACCATGCCAAACAAGCAGGATTATTCATTAAACCGCCTGCACATCCAAACTTACAGCGCCTGGTATTCCCCAGCGGTAACTTATCTAGGCACTGACCAGATTCAACGTTGCTTAACTTCGGTCATCTAACGAGAACCGGTGTTTCAACGTGATATGGCCGTAAGCTTCATTTCAAAGCTTAGTGGCAAAAAGTGGGTGGGGATATATTGACATCTTAGCTGTAAAGAAAAAATGACCCCTCCACTTAATAGTTATTCATTCTGCTTTCATTTGGTTACCACTTTTTTGTCTGCCATTAGCATGGGTGAGGCTATCTCCTTCTTGGTCTCACTTTGACATGAAAGCGGGGCGACTATATTGAATCAACTGCTAGATCTGCTGCAAGGTAAGTTGGTTGACTGTGTCATGCCAGACAATTCTTGTCAGAATCCATCTTGAACATTTATAAATCTACCATTCATCCGTGCATTGAATATTGCTGCCATATCTGGTCGGGTGCTTCTATTATATATCTCAAGATTCTTGACAAAATTCAAAGTAATTCAACATAATACATTCTGACCTGTCATCTCGATGATCTACATTCTTTAGTCCACAAGTTCAGAGCCTTTATAGCTAGGAGCCACCAGGCGACAGGATGTGACCTTTATAGCTAGGAGCCACCAGGCGACAGGATGTGACATGTGCTCAAATTAACGTCTAGTTTCCTATATAATTATATATGGACCAAAGACAAAAAAACTTCCCTTCTTCTTGTTACCACTGTCACACTGACGTTAGTATCTCCAAATCTTCCACTTTTAGAGCAATGAGGGTATTGCATCGTAGGGTGGGTATCCCCAGGAATAGGCTCTCCTCATTACAAAAACGTGAACTTCCTGAAAGCAGAAACACAACAGAGAGAAGAGATACTGCAATTTGATGGTATTTACCAGTCCCCAGGCATCTCGACTGCAGTCACTTTCTCACCGCCGTGACGTGGATTCCTTCTGTATTTTCTACAAACATTTTCATGGTAATTATCTTGATGAGCTGCTCTACTTAGTGCTGCAACTGCATGAATTTAGGTGGGCTACTAGATTGGCAGTTAGGTCTCACCATTTTAATGCTGAAGTAGCCAGATTCAACCCCCAGTTCTATTGTAGTAGTTGCTTTTCTCGCCTGTGGAACTTCCTTCTGATTTCTTGCTTCCCTGCCAACTACAATATTTAAACATTGGAATACTACATCAATCTCCATCTGTCTTTCTGAATCCGGTTCTTGTATTGTCCTTTTCCTCACTACTCTTTCACTCCCTGTAATTCTTTTTTACTCCCTATAACCCCCTGTGCCCTAGTGGTAGTATCACCTTGCTTGGGGTGAAGTGATTAAATAAAACACATTAATGATATATTACAAAGTTTGCCAGATAGAATTACAAGTAGCTAATTATGTGACATTCGAAAATCCAGCACGACTACATTTTGCATTGACATTCTTTTTCTCATTATTAATCCAAGTTAACCCGGCTTATTTTAAGAATTGATCTCCAAAATCGCCATTATCGAAATTCAGGATTTAGTGGTACTGGGATTACAAAAGCAAATCAATCAAACATCTGAGTGACTATGCTGTTCAAAAGCGGTTTTTATAGTCTATACTTTTATTTGAAATAGATGCCCGATGTTTAATGTTTTATTCAGTGCGTATTACTTCTATCAAGAAAATCTTAATAAAGAACAGGAGTCGAACCTGCGTCCGTCTTTTTAGGGTAAACGACTGTTTAATCCGTCGTGCTTTACCGCTAAGCTACAGAGAGCTTCACAGTTCAGCAAATCTCTATTTTTCCTTTAAAGGAAAGTTCACATTCAGATATTTTTTTTTTTTTTTTTTTGGCTCAGTTACGTATCCGAAACGTAAAGATGACAATTTCTGAAGAATTAATGAATTTATTTTAAATCCGACATTTTATTACTTCAAATATAGTGGATACTCGCATTTGAATTAGACGCCCCTTTTCATTTTTATTTCACACAGTCTGTATTATGTCTACCAGCATTTATTCTTACCACTATCGAGAAATATCCTCTATTTCGAATACAGGTATCCTCAATGTTTGAAATGATAAAAATGTCTGATTAAAAATAAATTTATTAGTTATTTAGAAATATATATATATATATATTTATCTCTCTCTCTATATATATATGTGTGTGTGTGTGTGTGTGTGTGTGTGTGTATCTGTGAGTATGTGAGTATATATATATATACATATATATATATATTACATGAATCATTCCTACAAAAATAGAAGTTAATGATTTAAATGGCGAGAATACATCTCGCAAACAATTTTAATAAAGTACATTAACCCCGAACCTGTATATGAATGTTATGATCCCTGTTTATAAATTCCAGTTGCATAAGGCCTTTTTTAGTTTTTTACAAGCTTTCGTCTGTTCCAACAGACATCTTCAGGTATGGAAATAGATTTGTTTTTGTTTTTTACTTCTCGGTAATAAGAGGACAACGAAAATATAGATGTAATCCGAAAAAATGTTTTGCGAAATGTGTTATTGTTAATTGTAAGAAATTTTTTTGGAGCGTGCGGTCGCAACGCTGAGGTTGAATTTTTAAATTTTAAGGTTGTGAGTTTTTGTACTAATATGGTAATAGGAGAATTCTTTTGTACTGGTAGGTTTTTCAGTCAATGTGGCATGAAGTACATTGTTCAATAAATACAGGAATGTCACAGTTATTATCCGAAAGTTGCACGTCGGATCAGTTATTTTAATATTAAATATGTGGTGCAGTTCAATTTACATTACATGAATCATTCATTGAATGATTCATGTAATGTAAATTGAACTGTTATACATATTCGATATATATATATATATATATATATATATATATATATATATATATATATATATATATTGTATTAGCAGTAGATTCTTATTTAAACATATTATTAAATATAACAGATAATGGACGTCTATTATATCTGATCATGAGCTGTTCTAATGTTGGAATGTTTGCTTTAATTTCCGGATGAAAATAACAACAAAAATTGTTCAACATTTGGATATTTTTTTATTAAGTTGGTCCTGAGCTTTCGACTCACATAAGCCATCCTCAGAGTTGTTATACAGACATGAAACAAAGATATCCACCGTCAAAGATGATATTTTGTTATTTTGACATAGACGATTGCTATATGACGTTAACGGTCCAGGAATAACAGACGCAGATCGTAAGTTCATGAGGCGGTTCTATGACGTCATACCACGCGATAGACTGAAGTATTACAACAGGATCAATGTCTAGATGCAATGTAATGTGTTGTGGCTAGCTTGAAATGCAATTTTGTTGAGTGTGAGCTGCTTTGTTTGAATGTAACTGGCCTCCAATATCCGAAGGTTCTTTTCACTATATGTATGTGTGAGCATTATTGTGTTATCAACTGATATCTATCTAATTTTATGTACATGGCTATGTTTTTCTAGGTAATGTTGCTTAAAATAACAAAGATCAGAAAGGTGACAGGTAAGTCTACGGGAGAGTGTGGTTGTAGTAAAACCAATATATGTAGCAGGTTTATTATTAGTATAAGAGATACAATCTTTGAACGAACATTTAAACTGATACACTACATTGGTTTTTTGTAGAGGATTTTGTTGTATGGTTGTAGGGTTATTAGAGAGTATGAGGTCAATTGTTTTAAAATATATATATATATATATATAT